AAAAAAAAAAAAAAGGAAAAATATTTAGAGGCTATTATTTATATTTAATTTTAAATGCTCACTCTCTCTGCTAATGCAAAAATATCAAATATCATAACTAGGCATACATGAATGAATTTCTCTCTTAGTGACTGAGGTGCACAGTGTATAAAATAAGAAAAGAACACAATCAGCATCAAAGGAAGGAGAATTTGTCTCAGTTAAAATCAAGATGATAGAGCATTAGTAAGATATGTGATGTATTTGTACAATTATATAGTGGAAAAATAAACTGTGAGATTATTTTAAACACAGATCATGAAGATAGAAAGCTTTCCAAATCCCACTATGATTTACTTCAGTAGTTTTCATCAGGAAGATCCACACAAAAACTGATTTAGTGCTGAAAATGACATAATGACTCTTCAGTTAGCTTGGGACAATTGGGAAACATATTTATCTGATTTGTGGCAATAGTGAACAAGAACTAGAAGAATGTGGCATCCAAGATAATCCTCAAGATTTTCAGTATGTAGGAATGCTGAACTGAAAGTCAAACCATGACAGTCTCTACAAGTAAATATTTATGAACATTTAGGGTAATGACAGTTCATGAAAGCTTATGAAAACTATAAAAGATACAGCCATGCTACATGCATTCTGATCAATAGCCATGCATTATCAATAAAGTCCATGGGAGACTGCATTAAAGCTAAATTTCAAGCAAAAAGCAAAATAATAAAAAGAATGTTTTCAATAAAAACTGAAATCTTAACTATTTTAAAATGTGGGGGTCTTTTAAATTTAATTGGCATTTTAAATAATGCTCGGAGCATTACACAGTAAAAAGTTAACCAATTTGAACCAACCAGTGGGTCCCATATGAAGAGTGATATGCAAAATAAATAAAAATGAATGAATAGTAAAATCTTTTAATTTACCAGGAATGGGACAGGTACCATGGAATAATCAGGAAAACTGTTTTTTCCACAATGCACTCTCCAAAACCAGTATCCTCAATATTCCAAAATATTATAAAGAAAAAAGAAAATCCAAACAAGCAGAAAAGAAGAAGAAAAAGAAAGCAGGACCATGCTGTTCATCCACGCACCTGGAGGAACAACTCCAATACCATCATCAACATCAAAATCTGAGATGTCACTATCACTGATTGGCCGAGATCCTGCACAACAGTAAGGTAAACAAATACCTGAACATCTGGTCATGTTATAATATCTAAGTATATGTTCATTTAACATAATAATGAAACCAAAAAGATGATTTTAAGTTGAAACAATAGAGAAGGAGAGCTCAACTTCAGTGACTGACTGATGCTTCACAAGACAGCTGAGCCAAGTGAACATCTTACAGGTGCTGCAGCCTCCTTTCCCTTTCTCTTCCCCTCAAGTCCTCAGTAATCCTCTGCTAGGATGGTTTATCTCACTAAGCCTCAAAAGCAAAACTAAAGGAAGAAAACAGTTTTGTGCTACTTCAGTGAATATGCTGAATCAGCTTGCTGAACAGGAAAGGAGATGAGGCAGCATATGGTGAGAGAGAGGAAGAGCACTGCCAGCTTCTAGAAAAGCTCAAATATCTCACAAAAACTCTAATTTGCTCTCTATATATATATCTGTTTGGGCACCTATGCAGTGATTACAGCAGTAACATATATTTATAGTTCATTCCTGAATGTGCACCAATTTCCTATGCATTGGCTGAAGTGACTGACTTCCGTGTTTTAGAAAAATCAGAAAAATACCTTGGAAACGTACTTTTAAATAGTCCCCTACATCTTTCATATTTCTAAGAAAATCTTAATTTAAAGCAACAGAGAAACTACAATGTTGGAATATCTCCTTCTTTAAACATGCCTCATACAAACCTGAAATCAGACTCATGAAAACAACTGTACCTACAGGAATAAAATTTCCCCTTTCTGTAAAAGTACGCTTCAGTAAATATATTGGAGGCTGAGACTAACTTTATGATGAAAAGCGTTTTTAAGCCTTGTAAGTCTTTAAGGACTTCTTTTTATATAATAAAAGGCTTTTAATTTTTTTTAAGTGTCCAATAATTATAAACTTCATTTTTCTATTTAAAAGGCATTTTACGAAAAGAAATTCTTTGAACAATTTTGTCTTGCTATTGAAAGCCAAATCAATTCCAGCAGGTTTCACACACTTGAAAGCTATACATCACAGTTGTAAGATTGACATGTCATAATGTCATAATTTAAATTGCCTTTCTGCCACACATTTTCATCACTCTTAAAGACTATGAAAAAGTCTCTTTTCTATTTCATTTGGAATTTAAGTACCATTACACCATATCCAGCACTTCTAATTTAAAATTTGTGACCTTAATGGAATATAGACCTACTTTGTAATTTTTTGCTAGTGCTTTCTCCACCATGAACATGTCTTCTTGGCATGAATGGTGATGGCTGAGGCAGAGGTAGTGAAGATTCATCATGTGTCTGTAGCTTATACCAATGTGGTTCATCATCTAAAAGTGCTGTCTCCAGCTCTATAAGAATCTAGCAGAAAAATCATCACGTTTCAATTTTGATTTGTAGGTACACAGAGAAACACATATATAAAATATATATGCATATGTACTCAAAACCAAACAATGAAACTCAGAAGAAATGTGATTGGATGCATCACCTCTCCAAGAAATTCACTCTCTTCTTCTTGTACTCTTGGCTGATCCCATACAGTAATTTCAAGCATTCGTTCTCTAAAATCTCTACGATGTACATGTGAGTAGAGAAAAGTTTGATTCCATTTTGGCTCTAGACTTTTCTTTACTGTTTTGGTCCTTCTTTTACTTTTATCACTGAAACATAAATATTTTTTTGTAAATTATTCATAGATATAAATCAGAAAATACCATGTACTCATCAGCATGTAACTGTTTTCATTTTCTCTTGGGCCGTAATGCCTAAATGAAGAAAGTATTTTCTACACAGTGGATCACCTTCTTACAAAAGATCACAAAGTTAAATTAATACTGACTTGCATGATTCAAGTGCAATTTTTTTGTTATAATTAATCTAGCTATAAAAAATTGTATTAAAAAAGAGTTCTTCATATGAATTCATTAAAAGTTGATTCAATACATGGTAAAGTAAAGCATAATTTTCTAAACTGGAATACTGTTACCTTCTGTCTGGAAGAAAATACATTTTTACATAGGGATTTCTGGGGCGTCCATCTACTCTTGGTGGCAAATCTGTTGCCTGTAGAACATTTACTATTAACTGATGTCCCACTTTGTCATACCAGAGTTTAACCTAAAGGAATCAAGTTACCAGAAAACATTACTGAAAATGGAGAAGAAACAGAATTTTCAGATTGCATCAAAAATAACCACAATGTAAAAGTAACTCTTGTTTTTTCCTAGAGCCAGAGAGATACATTGCATTTAAAATCCCTCAATATTTAATTAGGTTAGACGGAAATTATGATGGTATATACCAAAGACTGTTATATTTATCAGAGCTGAATAAAATTATGGTGCCTGATTTTGCTTATATTGTTTACTGTACTCACAGCATAATCCTGGATCTGTAAGTGCACCTAAACCAGCATTTCTTAGCTCTGCACCTTAAAAACTACATTAAATAGGAAGCTCTATCTGCATCTGATCTCAAGGCATAGTTGAAATCTATCTACTCACATTTGTGACCCTTTCAGAAGTGTTTATGGAAACAATAATATAGAGCTACCCAATTTCTTAAGACAATCATAATGTTAGGAAAATTTTAAGCCTGCTGTATACTCATGAATTAATATGATCAATATAAAAAAAATAAAAGAATGTAGAAAACAAAGTCTAAGTACTGGCAGTATGTTTAGTAAGTAGGACTTCAATTGGTATTACAAGAAAGTTCCAAGATGTAGCTAAAATAAAATGCATTACTGAGTAGTTTAATGCTTAACAAATACACAGCCTTTTAAATGCTCCCATAAAGAAAATTGTGGTACTGTGCTTGTTATCTGCAGATTACTGGACGTGCACAGCAAAGTCACTATTTCAATGCAAAAGCTACAAAATGACGAGTTTCAAAGCTCTTCACTTTTATGGGCCCTTCTCAACATAAATTCCTGCACTCTTTGGTGTATGAAGACAACAATTTCTTATGTCTGCCATGATTACAGTGATGGCTTGTTAGTGCATATGGATGGTGTCAAAAACTTTTGAAGATGTTAATCTTTACCAACACTGAACATTTCTCTTGGCCTCCCAAAAGGCTTTGGGAAGTTGCAGGGCTGAGGGACCAGCACTTCACAGATTTCCATTAAAACCTCAAGAAAAACAAAATATGCTCACAGAAAGCTGCCCTGGTAGGACCTGAGGTGCATCCCGTAGGGCTCCAGGGCTAGTCGGAGATATAACAGAAATAGAAGGTCTTTCCATCTTCTGAGATTCAAAAGAACTTGAACCTAAAACCAATGAGAAACACATGGACTTACCATCCAAAATGTGGATAATTTATGAACTGCTTTTTCTTTGAATTGTATAAAGGTAATATAGAAAACACAGTGAAAAGACTGCTTGTTTACCCCTACATCCCAGATTAAACTTGTCATTTTTTGGTATATTTGAAATAACAAATAAAAAAGGTGTTCTTCATACATCATTGACAAACCATAGCAGGTGTTTTAAATAAGACACTGTTCTCTGACTGAATTACACATCTCCCTTCCTATGCAAAGTACTCTATGATCCTAAGTCTTTGATGAATAAACCACAACTGTTGTATGGATTATACTCCCAGTAGCCTCTGAAAATTTAATAGGAAGACATGCAGGACATGCATCTGGCATGGAGGACATTTCAGCAACTGCTGGACATCATCAGTTCTCCCCTAGTGAAACAAAGCCCTCACTAATGATATGAGCTTGTGAAAAGTGGACACACCTTCCCTGTCCCAGGGAAGGCTTCTGGTTGCATCTCAGAAAAGGATTAGATGGGAAAGGACTGGGAGCCATGGCCCTCAAATACTCTGGCCAAAAACATTCAAATGGCATAGTTTAAAAGAATACCAGTTTTTTGAAGTATGCACAAAAAAAACCTAACCAAGGTTTTCTTGTTCAAAAAAAAAAAAAGAAACAAGAACTCTGCTCTGGACTTACTCTGCATGGTGCAGAAGGTGAAATCCTGACACCATTTGTACCTTTGGCAGTCCCTTATACCTGTCTTCTCTCTTATGTTAGGGGAAATAAATTATTATTCTGGTACTAACAACACAAATTATAGAATGAAAAAATAGAATTCAGCTAACATTTGAAATCTGTGTATGTCTAATAAAATCCATATTGCTTCAAATTTAATACACAAGACCAAAACCCATTGAATTTTGTCACGCAAAAACCTGAGAGCCAATGCAATTTCCACAAATCATCTTTCAGAAATTTCATTGCTGAAATAATTTTGCTGGGTACAAGATCATGCTTAAAGAAAGGAACAAGTGTGTACTCACTAGACTCTAATGGGGGGTGGGAAGTCTCGGGAATCCGTGGAATATCACTAAAACGTGAATATATAGTAATTAGAAACAACAGAGATGACCTTCGGCTGTGACAAATACCTCACTGGGACAGTTTTTTAGAAACATGGATACGATTCTGTTCTAACACGTTACAAGGAAAGAAAGAGGAAATATTTAAGGACATACTTTCCACTACCATTCATGAAAATCGCACTAACACAAACTACATCCAGGTTAAGGAACTAGCAGATGTAAAAATATGAGCACTAAAATGTTAACATTGTGGATGGATTACAGGGTATTTTTACAACTAGAACAATAAAGAAGGAGAACTTTTACAAAGAGAAAAATATATAGTACATAGCTGTACTTCCTTTGCCAAAAGCAAGTACAGCTATGGTTGTTCAATTATTTTTTGGAAGAACAAAAAACAAACAAAAAAATAAGACAAAGATTAACTCACTAGTAGTTTTTATATAAACGTCTCAAGGAGTTCAGAGAATGAAACTGATGAAAATGTCTTACAATGATAAAAAAGGCAAATAAAGAACATTAGCAATGTTAAATAAGCAAGTGAATAATGCATTTCTCCAAATGAGAAAAGACAATGAAACCATATTACAATTTGGTATGGACATTTTTCAAAACACATATATCCAACACATATACAGACATAAGCAAGATAAACTGATTAAGTCCACATACATCTATCAGCATTTTCCCGCCAACAAATTTACTCTTCCATCAAAATCTGGATGATGCTAGTTCCTGGCTCTTTCTATTCTCAGCCATTGTTGAAAATACATTACATGAGCAAAAATCATCTAGTATTGCACAAATCTTAACAAAGCAGCAGAGCAGGAAAATGGAAACAATACTCTTCGGTGAATTACTTGAATGTATTTTCATGCACACAGACTAATCCAAAACTAGAACTGCAATAACATTTCTAAAGAACATTTACAAGATTTTAAGTCTATAGTTGAGAATTTTAAAGGTGTTCAGACAGTCTGCTCAGAGAAACACAGAAGTGTTTCTGACTTGGTAGTCAATCAAACTAAGATTCCTGGGTATATAAAAGTCACTTATGAAAAAGCAAGAGACGCTTGTATCAGAAAAAGAATGCAACAGTGCCCAACCACTGAGCCTTAAAGTCACTTTTCGTGTCCTGCAATTTAAACTTGTGGTGCCTGTGTTTTAAAAGAGATTATTCCAGCTCTGTGTCAATGTCTCAAATCAGCTTAAACCTTGCATCACTAAACTAGAATGTGCTTCTCCCTGTCTTGACTTCATGAGTCAAGAATAAAGTGGTTTCCTCAAACTCATGGAATTATAGCTGAATTAGTCATTCTTGACATGACACAGTATTACTCTACAAACATATGAACAGATTAACAACCTGTTGCACAGCAGGACTGCTGGGCAGTCTTCTTCTTTTTAACATTTTCTCTTTTTCAGGTCAGAATTTTCAGGGCATTTCTCATCAGTCTGAATCTTTACTTACCATAATCAAACAGATTTTTCTGTTCAATACAATGTTAAGTTTGTTATAAGCAGTATTTTCTTGTGCTAGAAGATGAACACTCTCATCTGCAGTATAGCACTTCAACCTGGAAAGTGCTGCCCACAGTGTCAAGTTCTATAGCCTTGGCATGGTTAAAGAAAGATAAAACTAATTCCCTCTGGATTTCTTTTTCTTATATTCTCAACAACACAGTAGGAACAAAAAAAGGCTAAAAATAAACTTCAAATTTTAACTACACATACAAGCATTTAATAACTGGTTTATATTTATGCTAAGGCACTGTCACACTATTACAACCAACATAGAAAAATTTAACAATAAATCAACGTGAGAAACAGATCCACACAGTTTACAAGAGGATTAAATGTTGACATTTTAATTAGAGAATGAACATTCTAAAAGGAAACTATAATCTAAAACTTTTCATGTAAGAAAACTAGCCTTATCTAGTCTGCTTTTAATTTTGCACTGCAGAAAATATTCTGAAGAAGAAATAGTTGCTCATGACTTAAAATATTCAAAACTAGATTAGTCAAAGAAAACAAATTGAAAAGTTGTACAACTGCTTATCTAATACAATAACAAAATTGTACTCCCCTTTTGGAGCAATATGAACTTGAGAAAAGTAGTGTCACACACACACACCACCAGTAAAGACCTGCCAACTTCAAACTTTGTCTTTCTATCTCTGCCTTGGAAGACAAAGGTACTTTGGGGTCTTACATGGCATTACATAGTATTATCTTATGTCTGATCCTTTCACTCAATGACTATATAAATTAAACCAAATTATATCTATTCTGTGCAGATATATGGTTTGTGAGAATCACTGTTTTGCACAAGAACAGCTATAATTTCTCAGAAGGATATTGTCAAGAGGCTGATCACTGAAGACAAACCAAATTCAAATGTGGCTGTAACCCACACTTTTTAGGTTGTGTATCAGATGTATCATATTCTACATCCCAGAGAGTTTCTAAAACGTTTCCGAGTACCTCTCCCCAGTGCTCATCCTGCTATTTCCAAAACCATTCCTTCCAATTAGAACCTGTAGATCAATCTGCAGTTTGCACTAATTACTTGAGCAGCTCTCTGGAGCACATTAGTGCCTGGTTTATGATGGACGTTCAACCTCCTTGCCAGGACCTAGACCACAGTAACTGACCCTTCACAGAGGAAATGAGCCATATCAGAGAAACAATAATTTTGCCAGCATTATATGTGGAAATCTAAGCAAAGATAGCTAGGATCTGACAAAGAAAACAGAGACAAATGAAAAAAACATTTGTTTTACCTGCACTATCCCATAGAACACAGAAGAGATGGTGAGTTAGTTACCATGCCACTCTTCTTCTCCAAAAAGTATACTGCCGAGGATTTTCTGTGCTGTCCTATGTTAACTACCTCTCACATTGCATGCATATTCATAGGTAATTCTTCCCCTCATATTGAGATAGCCAACCCATTAATTCTACTTTTTATAGGTTTCTTATCTACCTTGTATTGCAGCCATTAGAATTAGTGTCAATTAGCTTCTATGGAGTTTCCACGGTACTATTGCGGTTATACTGTTTATTGTTGTTATGCCTTTAGCTGCTAATAATGTTATGTGCTTCACCTTTTTCTCTAATAAACATCCTACAATTATCCATTACTCAAAATTACATTTGCTGGCAGACATAGAAATCCAAATTTACAAGACTGAACAAATTGTTTAGACCGCAATTTTGTAACTGGCAGTCTAATTTGTGTGCAGTCTAATTTGTGGACTTACAGCCCTTCCATTATTCACTTAAGGCAAACAGTGTCATATTTAGGCTTTTTAGACCTAATATGCTAGGAATTTTTAAATCAAGACCATTAAAAATGCTGGTACATTATTTGCATTATTAATACTGAGAGATGCAAACACTTAAATTATGTAGATGAAATACCATTTTCAGGCCTTTCGGGAACTTACTCCCTCACAGGAATTTTAGCTGTAATGGATTATCACTTAATGCCGTATCAAGCAACTTCAATTTTGCTTAGTCAGCACCTAAAAGTACCGACCAAACTTTGACATACTAGATGTGTTGGACGGGATGACAAAAAAATTCCCTATCCTGAATCTGAAACCATCATACAGTTTGGAAAACAAGACAAAGTAGAGCTAGGGACAAAATAAAAGTAAATTGTTAATGCAAGCAAACAATTTTCCACTGTGCAACACAATTTACATAGATCACAATTATTAAGAAAAAAATAAAAAAAGAGAAAAAAACAATCCTGTGCAGCATGCTCTTTCTTTTGATAACTACTATTAGGATTTTCTCTGCTGTACAATGTCTGAAATTCTTCGTTATTTTCAGATGACAGACAGGTAAATCCCAATCTGACATAAAACAACTGGACTTTGACTCATTACTGCAGGATAGACAGGATCTATCTTTAAATTTCAAATTTCTAGGCTCTAGGGATATTTATTTGCTGTCATAAAAACACCAGAAAATAACCTGACCCTCAAGCAAAAGAAAAAAAAAATTAAAATCTATTGAGACATAACAAGAAAAATATTGTTCCATTATGCAAAAACCTCCATGCCAAGACTCCATTTATCTCAAAATAAAAGCAAAATCTGATGTGCTCTATTTTTGACTACGTATTAAAAAAATATGCATGGGTCATCCAAAGGAAAACTTTACATTTTATTGGTACTATTTCTGGGTGCACTATCTTAGTGTAAAATCCGCTGTTCAGATTCAGGAACATTCTTTGATTTTGAACAAACTTTTTAAAAGGGTGGTGCTTTTTCAGTTTTTCTTCAGGAATGTGGCACTGGAATGCAGTCACCTTGTACTTAATCTTTCTAAACTAATGGATTTATCAAATTTGCAAACTAAAAGAATATATTTGGTTTAATACTGAAGTTATCTTAGAAGTTTAAGGGCATATAACATTTGCAATATTCACAGCAATAAATACATCTAAAGTCCATTGTTTAAAATGCTAATCTAGCACTTTCATTTTACACCAGTTGTACAGTTGCACAAACCCATTTCCATGTTTTCTTCAACTGAGATGTGGAATTGAAAACATGTCTGGTATCAACATATGTCATTTTTTTCTGATTTAAATATAAAAACTAGACTTCCAAAAATCTCCTTTTTAAATAAGGCATGTTATTTTTAATAACAAAGATGTATACAACTGAATTTTAAATTTCCTTTTAAGAGTATCTCCTAATTCATCTGACTCAAAAAATGCAAAATAAAGATTCTACTCCCCCAAAGTCTTCAGCTAGATGGCAATTTTAGCATTTAACAGCCACTATTATTACATCAGACTTTCATTTTCCATTAGAAGGTCAAACTGATAGGTGGAATTACCTATTAATATCAATTTTATTTAAGTACTTTTAATAGAGATTGCCATTAAAATGGCAAAATTTGTTTGCAAAATATAGCTACACTCACATAGCACAGACAAAATCAATAATCAAAATGTAAAAGAAGAATATTTTAGTCAGAAAGAAAATGAGTAGTTTTTTGTTTCTAAAACCGAAAAGTATATTTGAGACAAGCAAAAATTACAATTAACACTAAAATAGCAAATTCAAAAGACTCACTACTTACAGTAAATCATGTGACTGTTTCACAAGGTCAATGTGCATTTACAATAAATGATTCATATTCAGTTTTGTAAGACTTAGCTCAAAACATTATAACATTGCTGATATCACTAAAACTACTACCACTAATGCAGGCGCAATCCCTTTAATTTTATCAATTTGAAGAGATTTTATTTTTTTTCTAAGGTTTATTCAGGAAATTGAGAATATAAGAATTGTTGTCACAAAACTCCGAACCTGGGTTCATAATAAAAAAAATAGAGATTATAAACATAACACATTAATGCTAATTTTGATTGAAGCTCTTGCTTCCATGTTTGACTTCAGTAACAATAATTTAAGGTTAAATACAGTCTTTTCAATTTGTGTTTCTTTTTTTAGTTCTTTAAAAAAGGCCTGTTTAGAATCCTACTAGTTCTGGCTTATTAGATTCCTTCATCGTGAAGACCTTTATAAGTTATTCTGATCTAGGAAGCTAAAAGCCTGAAACCCAGAAGTTTGTCATGCACACTTGTACCTAATCCACCAATTTTCCTCTGCCACTTGGCAAAAGCCTTTATGGTACTTTGACCACACAGAAAAAAACATTTATGCTTGTATATCACTGCAAAGGCACCAGTAGTGAAGAAAACAGACTACATAAAAAGAGAATTGTATCCCATTATTAAGCAATAAAAAATAATTAACTCACAGATAATCCCTTTAAGATTCCTATTAACAGAAGTAATAACTACGCTTAAGAAGCAAGACTTTAGCCTTACCCAATAGGCCTTGAAACAATGATTTCAACTTGAGGTTCTGATTTTGATTCTAAAATAATGTTGTAAACTTCTTCATTTGTAGCTCCAGGCAAGGGCTTACCATTCCATTCTAGAACTTCATCCCCTTGAATTTAAAAAGAAGTTTATCTCACTTTCATATTCTTTTACAAAGAATGAAATTTATATTTTCAAGTAACATAATTTAAAATCATGAAAGAGCTGTACTGAAACCTTCAGACACCTTCCTGCCAAGGTGCTTTTTAGCTGGGTGGTTCCCAGTGCTTACTCTTGCATAAGGATGATCTGTTCCTCATGCAAGACTTAGTATTTGAAATTATTAAAATTTATGAAGTTTGTACAATTACTCAAAGTTTTATCAACCACCAAAATTTTGGATTTTTTTATAAGGACAAAAGTCTTTTTGCCAACTGCAAGGATTCATCCATGCCTTTTTTGTGTGCTCTAGTCCCATGCAGTAGGATGAACAGACTTTCATTCATTGGAAACGTGCAAAACAACATATTTTTTCTGGGAAATAATTTTGGCTCTAAAACTGCTTTTAGAAATTAAAAATAGCTTTCATTTAAAAACTCCAAAAAAACCTAGACTGGAAATAGAGAATTAGGATTTCAGCCCAAATGGTATAAGATTAGTGGATAAAAAATTATTTTCTGTAAATATAATCTGCTTTTAAAATCTATCAACAACTATATTAGTTGGTGCTATCAACTTCATGTATATCGATTTGGTAAGAAAGAAAAATTTTAAATGCCAAAAAAAGTAGTGTATTATTAGAGACTCATCATCCTTTCTAGTTCTTTATTACTATCTGCTTCACACAATTATCCTAAAACCATACACATTGGCATTGGATGTTGTAGGTTCTTAAAGTACTACATTGGCACTTTGGTTTGCTAAGACAACACTTGGAAAATAGTTGCTCATAGCTATAATAAAAATATAAACCATTAAGAAGTGACTGAAAACCAAATGCTCAGCATAATTCTCACTTCATTTAAAACCTTGAAAAGTGCCGTTAGCACAGCCATTTATTTGTAAGTGTAATATATACATCTAATAGAAATATTTTAGCACAATTTTTTGGGCTTGTTTTCCATTTTCATTTGCAACAGTTAACACTGAAAGGAACACTAATAAAATCCACTGTGTATGCAGTGTGTCATCCTTTAGTGATGTGAATTTTGTTTGCCACAATCAGTTTTAAAAAAATGTTTGCATTTGCTTCTGTGGAGTGTAATAAGCACCTCGTGAGCTAGCAAACAAAAATTTACCAGTGTCACTCAGTCCTGTTACCAGCATTCCCCAGAAGTGTCTTTTGTTTAGCTCATACATTCAAAGCAATTGGTATTCATAATAAATTAGAAATGTAGGCAATCATGGCATGTCATAATAACATTATTGTTCTGTATTTAAAAGATATTACCATAACATATGACAAATATTAGTATAAATTAAAGGTTGCATTCAATAGGTCATTACTAAAAGACAGTATATTTTATATGCAACTGACTGATTTACCTGCTCTGAGATGCCCCACCACATCAGCCAAGCTACCTTTCTTCACTTTGGTAATGAAGGCACCGAGTCGTCCTAATTCTGTCATTTTTCCCCCAACAACCTAGTTAATCACAAATTTGTAAGTCTCCAAGCCACAGACGTCACATAAAGCACAAATATATAGATTAATCAGTTCTCACATTATTTTTAAAATTACACCTGAAACGTTCATAGGGACACCTATTGTCAATTCGGGTTTTAGAGAGGCTTAAAGACAATAGAAGTAAAGCTGATACAGAAAGAATACAATTTATATTCTTTTTACTGTGTTTGACTAATCAATCTTACGCAATTTGCTAAGTACCTACATTTGTTGCAGAAAGAACAATTCTTAATAAATAACCAGACAAATGCACTTTTTACAAATAATTGTTTGCCATGTACTCAAATTTGAATTGCAAGTGTGAATCTTTTCAATTGTATGAAATCCTAAAATGCAGTTGGTACATCAATTGAAAACTTTGCAAATACACTACTATTAAATATGGGCAACAAATTCACAAGAATGTTGGTACTGCTAAAACATTGTCATCCAAGCACATGACAGGACAAACCAGCAACTTCTGGCTTTTGTTGAACAGAAGAGAAACTGAAACTGAAGAGATCTGTTTTTGAAGATGACTACAGGATACAGATATCAGGAACATCAGAAAAAAAAAAAAAAAAGGGCCCTCAAGAGGCCAGATTTTAAATAAAATACAAAGAAAATATAGTCTTGCTGACTTTCTGTCTCTAACTATCTTACTCTTTCCAATCAGGTGAGGGGTTTGGGGTTTCTTTTTTGTCAGGAATATCCCGGAGGCATTTTATAACAAAATGGAACTGTAGAATGATGGTTCATTAGGTATTAGTTCCCCATGTTGCAATCACAATAAGTAGCAGGAACTTTAATACCAAAAAAAGATCCAGAAGCTTATCTGCCAACAATATTGTCACCTGATAGCATGTAAAATTTATCAGTGAGGGCCTTAGTTCATATTACATACAACTGAAACTTGAAAAATCAGAGAGAAACTCTACAACTCTACATTTCCTACTAGGACCAACATTTTTTCTCATCTATTCAAAGAGAATTGTTTGCTGACAGCAAAGATCAGCTTTGTGCTATAGACTACTAAACATTTACTAGAGGTAAGCTGTTTTCATCTTCTGTATTACCATGCCAAACTATCTCACTTCAAGATGGGAATATTTCAGATCTTGCACTCTTTCTGTTGTTCTCACCAGAGAGGGAAGGACACCCATATTAAATTCTATCAGTCACCTTTGTTGCTCCAGAGATTTAAAAATATACATGGAGAGAAAAACGCTTGAACTGGTACACTGTATTCCCCACTAGCTTCAGAAACAGCACTCTTTTTCACGTGTTCTAGCAATTTAGACACATGAACTTAAAAGTCTGCTAAAATGTAAATTAGAGATTTAAATCAATTGGACAGTGTTGCCAATATCTCAATTTTGGGGTGCCAGATTAAGTGGAATTACATTTAATATAACCACTACTATGATTTAAGAAGATTTTTTGCAAATTTTTGTGTAAAAATTTGGTTTCTTCCTACAAAATTTCTGTTTTCAAATGGCTGTGTGGCTTTTAAACACTGACCTTATAAGCATTTGCATCCAGATGACATTTTTGTATGTGGATTATAAGATTAATTACTTGACTAAATTACAAGCAGCAGAGCTAGAAAAGGCAGGACTCCATTAGTGCATTGCCATGTGCAGTATATATCTTGCAGACAGGAAGCTGAATAAAATATCCTTTTTAATGAAAATGGTTCAGCCCCTCTGTCATGGACAACTGAAGACTGCATAGAAGGAGTAAATGTATTTATAGTCATAATTTATCTGTATAACTTTCAATATTTAGTAAAAGAGAGAACTACATTTTTTGTCAGAAGACCATATGATAGGAGAGTCCTCTGATTTAATGTGTTACACCTCTATGTCTAAGGTCAATGGAACTTCCTTTCATTTAGCACATAAATCATGTCATACTTACTTTTAGCCCCAGTAATGCACCTGATTCTTTAGGCATGGTTGTTCTCTTGTTAAGAATAACACGCCCAATTAAGCGATCTCCCTCTTTGGAAGGCTGCCACGTTACGGGATGCTGTTAAAAAACAGGAAGTGCAATTAAAGAAGTGTGACCATCCTCTAGTATTTAGACACACATGTATAAACCAATAAAATTACTGTATCATCATGTCACAGTAGACACAAACATCCTTCAGATGTGTTACATACTGCACCTGAGTTTTCTATGATTGTATCTGGTGGACCCTGGCTACATGAAACATTTATTCCTGTTGTAAAAAAATCTCTGCATTAAGTCTACAGATAGAACTATAATCCAGTTCAAACTTCAAACTTCAGTACAATTAAATATTTTAAACACACCTTAGATAACGAAATTAAATATTTACTTTTAAATTACACGACTGAAAAGCGCATTCAGAAATTCTGTTCTTTAGAATAATACATGTTATGCAGGTCTACTATATAAGGGTTCATTATATAATAAAATCAAAATGGTGCTTTTCAATTCCAAGTCTTAAAAAAAAATCACTAATCTTTTCCAGAGCAGCATCACACTCAAAACTGCTTTTTTTTGTGGTTTATAGTGAAATTTTCATGTCTATAAAGGAATTACATTCAAGTTAAAATTCAGGCAATTTTACAAATATGCATTTTGATAAAACTTTCTTTCTGATTTTCATTTCCATGGTCCTCTAAAACAAATTTTTATATGATTTGTGTTGAATATTTTTTTACAGCCAAATATCCATGCTGAACTGAAATAATTAGCAAATATTTTAACTCGTACATATGAACCCCTATTTTTCTATTTCTTACCGAACTAATAGGGGACGTCTCCCTGCTGTGCCACGTGGCAGGATCCAGCCAGTAATAATCCAAGTCACCTGGAAGAATATGAATAGAAAGAAATGTGTAATCTCTCAAACAGAGAAAGATGTTCGAATGATTACTTCTGCATGCATGAATTTTAAAGTGCAATAGTTTCATGAAGCAAGTACAAAAATTTTATTATGATTCAAATCAATATATCAATTTGAAAACAATATAATGTATTAATATAAAATAATGCATTTATTTGGACCTCTGCTTTTTCATGAATTGCACCTCAGAATTGGTTGTGCACACTGTCTATTTTTACCTTTGCTCAGTTCAAGAATGGAGCCCAAAGCAACACATTCACAGCCCTCCTCCTCCCCACCATCTCCATAATAATTACACAGGACTACAGCTAATGACGACACGAGAGGAATATTCCACAAAATAGGCACTTAGCTATAGTTAAGGACAGAACAGTCAACCATGCTCTAAAGTCTGCAAAGATCAATGCTGTGACAACAGGTACCATACAGAGGGAGAGGCACAGGAGCTGGTCACAGAGTACCAGAGAGAACAGCCACACAAATACAGCAAATAGTACCAACAGCAGGTACAAGGCTGCAATTTTCTCTTTAACTTGGGACAAACTTACATGCTGTGTATATCATGAAAAAGACCAAGAGTTACAGTGGTCTGGAAGCCATCAGCCTATCAGGACAAGGAGGGTACTTCTGGCAATATGCCTTCAATATCTTACTTTATAAAACAGATCTCTGTAACACTACTGCTAGATGCCTGTGTCCTAGTAAGAGTAGGGATCTAATAGAAGCTGAAAAAAGCATGCAAGGGAGAACACACCTTTACATGCAGAGATTTTTTAAAATTCTTTCTCTACAAATACTTAGATGCTGATTATGAAATACAAGTTGTAATATTCTCTATAACTCATAAAATCTTTAATAGCTTACCATCTACATGATCATATGCCCAAGTTTATTTTTAAACAGCATATTACTATCATATGCATAACCACATGAGGCAGTTTGTGGTTTCATTAGCTACTGCAGTTCTGCAGGTTTGGAAAACACATTAAATCACATTAAAGATATTTCAGTTTTATTTTTAGGATCCTTCCTTGTGCCTTTATAAACTTCAAAATTACAACAAGAACAACAGCAAACCCACAAACTACACTGACACCTGCAGTGTTGGCAGTAAGCTCAAAACTGTGGTACAGAGCTCTCCAAATTTCAGAAATGGACTCAACAGTAACACCAAAAATCAACTATCTCCTGTGTGGGCTGGCCTGCCACAGGCCAAACACAACACAATTTGTCTTCTTGTTTCAGAGTTATTTTCTCAGCAATAGAGAAATGTTCAGGAGGGAATAAATGTCAGCCCCAGTACACAGATGAATGCACCCAAGTCCTCAAAAACATTTCCGCCCATCCCCATTGTTCCCTGCTTTCTTTTCCTCTTCTTCCTTCCTAGATTCAGCTTCTTGCTCCTAGTTTCCTTGCTGATCTTCCTCCTGGTCACTGCAGATCCATGACCATTTAATTAATTCACCTAGCATCCTTCTCCACCAACTCCCTGCTCTAGCAAGATTCTCTCATAAATCTTCTGTCTTGTGGATTTTCTTATTCTCACCATCTACCTACCCTTTGCTGCCTTTTCTTTCCCTGCTCATTTTTTTCCATCATCCATCTGTCTGCTTCTGCACCTGGACTTGGTGTCCTTTCTTAAAGTTCTGTATTTTAATCCCTCTTTAACCTCAAACTAAGGAGCTACATTCCTGCACTCTCCTTCCCCCATCTAAACTTTCAGGTGTCTGTCCCTTCCCCCCCTTCTGTCTGTCTCATGCTTTGCTAAATTCCAAGCCTACATTCCATCAGCTACATCCAGAGCAGCTGGCCACGACACCAATTCTCTCACCCTCTGCTCTCAAAAGCTGAGAGCAGGAACTGCACTTCAAATGCAGCTCTACTGAGCTGGAACATGAATAATATGCTCAGAAGCTATAAAGGTAGCTATCAAATCACACATCTTGACTGAAGGTCACTGAAAGTGGTAAGTCTACCATCTGGTGAATACTTTAAAAGCTGCAAAAATACGTGAACTGGGGAGAGAAAAGTACACATTCTTTTAAAATTACTTAATTTTAAAATTTCCATTAAAATTCAGTATGATATGGACCACTGGCACACAAATGTCTGGGGGAATTTACAACCGTAAAAATGATTATACAATGGAAAATTTCAGTTAATCTATTCATAAACACTCATCAAAGAGAACATAAAAGTTAAGATATAAATGAAAAAATTCCCCAAATGGGCATTAAAAATATTTTATGCCAGCAACACTGCTACTAGGGACCTCTGTAGGTCATTACTTTAAAAATAGTTTCTCCTTGGTCATCCTATGCCATTGCTGCTTCTTTGCCTAATGCCTATTTATGCCATTCTTGCACTGCCATACTCCAGAACTCACTCTTTGCTTAATTGCACAAAATAACTTCACTGGAGCAGCATTACAGAGATCTGATAATAGGTAAATAACATGCAAAAACTTACGAAGAACACAGCTTCAAAATTTCAGATTTTCTCCAAATAACACCCACCAAAACTGAAAACAAAAATCCCTATACACAGGGAACACTCTTACATTGGTAAAAGTCATTAAAAATAACTAGCAAAATAAGAAAAATTTAAGACATTATCGAGAAGAAAAAACTACTTTCATAAGGAGCAAATAATACCTTTATAAGCCTAAACTACTTTTAAATGCTTTTTAAACCACTTTAAAAACATGAACAACTTAAAAATAATAAGTCCCCATGAAAATACACATATACTGTATCATTATTTTTTGTACATTACTGGTGTATTTCTAAAACGTGTTATTAAAAATGCATTTGCAGTTTTAATGTTTGATTCCCTTAAGACCAACTGAGTAAAACAGAGTATATATTTGTAAAGCCTTATTTACTAAGGGAAAAAGTCAAAAGTTGTATCCTAACAGCAAGGAAATGTTTTTCCTATTAAAATGCTGCTGCTCAATTACTTTTGCACATGGGTACAATAATAATTTGCAAGACACAAATGTGTTGAGCTTTTTCCATGTCTTTTGCCGCCTGCTATCAAAATTATGGGGATGTAAAAGATGGGGAGTAAAAGTCTTAATAAATTCTCATTTTTTTTATATCTGCAATATGTGTGCTTTCAAAATAAAGAGAAAGCTAAGTCATATCACCGTAATCCATTTTCTTGAAAAAAAGTTGTCTTCCATTTGTTTTCTTGCACTATCCATACCAAAAGCTAATGCTGGTGTACTGTGATTTCAAGTAAGATCCTGTAAAGCTGAGAAGTTCCGGAAAAAACAGCCTTGTCCCTCTTGCAAAGCCAAAACAAGAAGAAAATATGAGAGGGTCTGTTATTGTGTATGAACAGTCATGTTGATTTCCAAAGAGCCTTGAATACTGGGGATAAAATACCCCAAGATGTTTTCCCAAGTCCATCCAGACCATATTCAGAGAATACTGATATTCAGCAAAGACTGTGCTTCAGCAATTCACTCAAATCCATAGGCACTGGATTTGCAGGAGTTACTTAAGAAGCAGAATCTAATGATAAGAGTCAGTCAGCCCATGTTAGGCACTTAATTGACCATTAGCAGCATGTAGATGCTAATTAATACAGCAGTTCTAGCAGATAACTGACACTTAGACGAGTATTTTTCAGGGCTACATCTAAAATTACTCTGCAAACTGAATAGTCAGACTACGTCTCTCTAATTAACCCACAGAATCACAGAATATCTTGGGTTGGAAAGGGCCTTACAAGATCATTTACCACATCCAACCTGGCTTTGAACACTGCCAGGGATGGGACATCTGCAACCTCTCTGGGCAACCTGTTCCAGCACCTCACCACCTATTCACAGTCAAGATCTTATCTAAATAGACTCTTTTTCAGTTTGAAGCCATTCTCCTGTGTCCTGTCACTACAATCACTTGTAAAAAGCCCCTCTGCAGGCTTTTTGTAGTCCTCCTTTAGGTAGTGAAGAGCTACTAGAAGGTCTTGCCAGAGGCTCTTCTTCTTCATGAAAAATGACCCTAACTCTCTCAGCCTGTCTACAGGAGAGATGCTTCCATCCTCTGACCATCTTCATAGCCTTCTCTGGACTAACTCCAGCAGGTCCATGTCCTTCATATGTTGGGAGCCCAGAGATGGATGCAGCACTCCTTGTGATATCTCACCACAGTGGAGCAGAGGGACAGAATCACCTCCCTCAACCTGCTGGCCATGCTGCTTTTGAGGCAGCCCCAGGATGTATTTGGCTTTCCAAGTGACAAGCTGCCAGCTCACACTGAGCTTTTCATCCAACAACACCTCCCAAGTCCTTCTCCTCAGGGCTGCTCTCAATTCATTCTTCACCCAGTCTTTACTTGGGGTCTGTTGATCAAATCCATGTCTCTCCAGTTCAGAGGCAAGGATGCCAGTGTCAAATTCCTTGCACATCAAGTAGCTGATGTCACTCTTCTTTTATACTGTAACCTCATTATAGAAGGTAACTATATTGGTCACGTGTTGTTTGCCTTTAGAGAAGCCCTGTTGGCTGTCACCAATGACCTCCTTATTTTCCAGTTTCCTTAGCACAGTTTCCAGAATGATCTGCTCTATGATCTTGCTGGGCACAAAGGTCAGACTGACTGGCCGGTAGTTCCCAACATCTTCCTATTTTCTCTTTTTAAAAATGAGGATTATGTTTCCACTTTTCCAGGCAGTGGGACTGCCGTAACTTCACAAATCTGATGGAGAGTGGCTTAACTACTTCATCTACCAGTTTCTTCAGGAGTGGCAGACTCCTCTCATCAGTCCCCATGGACTTGTTCACCTCCATGTTCCTTAGATGCTCTCAAACCTGATCTGCTGCAGTGGGCACTTCATCTCCCAGCTCCTGCCTTTGCCTGTGGCAGCCTGGGCAGTGTGGCTGGAGCATTTTTCAGTGAGGACTGAGGGAAAAAGTAATCCAGTACCTCAGTCTTCTCCATATCCAAGGTGATCAG